TTAAGCACCATTATTTGTCTGCTGAATTAAGCACCATTATTTGTCTGCTGATTTGGCTCATTACCCTGACCAAACCAGGCCCATTCTCCACCCTACTGTTCAGTAGTCTTAGGACCAAGAATGAAGGCAGCCCCTTCAGAAACATCCCCTCAACCAACTGTGTACCATCTGACACCATACAGTCCACACCCAGAGAATGATAAGTTTTGAGAATATCAAGCTTGGAGTTCTGGACAGTGATCTGGTGACATGAAATGAACAGGCTAGTTTTGAGTAGTGAATTTTTGATTTATCTTAAAACTCAAGGTGAATGATTTGAATAAAATGGTTATTATTTTGTCTCTTCTGGAATTCTGCAAATCTATAGAGTTTTTGAAGTAAAAATTATATACATATTGGGCTTGCTAATGGAGGACTTGCCATTGATTTTACATCCCCCTGTAAAGCTATTTTTACAGGCTGTTAAACCGGTTTTCCCCTGTAAAACCAAAGGGAATTCCTCCAATGATTACTAGATACAAGCATATTCTGTGTTAATGATGAGAGAAATAAGTGAAATGAATGAGAGAAATAAGTGAAATGAATGAGAGAAATACGTGAAATGAATGAGAGAAATAAGTGAAATGGATGAGAAGTCAAAAGAATAAAAACAGAAGTTGGTGTAGCAAAGCAGCAATTTGACTAGTTCAGGGGTAACTTTGTTTTGCTTTCCAGCTTATCTGACAGCAGTGGATGGGTAAAATCTACATTCTCATATTTGCAAAATAGGGGCATTCTGAGCCACTTCTGCCAGAGGTTTGGGAGATGCAATCCATGGAAGCTTTTGGAATGGAAGGATAATATGTCTTGGAAGTAAGTATTCTTGATAAATAAATTGGACATTTTTCCTGAAGTCAGATAGAATGTGGTACTCTAGTTGTTGATGTGAGAATTATAATAGGGGGTGTCAAATATAAGGAATCCACCATTAGATACCAGTCAATTATCCAAAAATATGACTAGATAAATAAGTTGGAAAACATAAATGAGCAATCACTATTCTTTAAGATTGTTGTGGTTTAGTCTTCAATAATGGAAAAAAAATCACTTGAAAATAATAATATGAGCATCTTTAATCACAATTTATATCCACTTGTTTGAGGAATTAATCTGAATATTAGTATGAATGGAAGATATCAATTGTTTTTGGTTTATCCAACAGTACTCTCCTTAATAATTTTAATGAAAGGCAATCAAGAAGAAAACTGACTGTTTATTGGTGAAAATATTTGACCAACAAGATCAATTGTTTGATTCTTGTTTGCTCGATTGTTTGATTCCTGTTGAATAGAGAGATGGAGAAGCTGTTGTATGAAAAGATGGCTGGGAAAGTCTGAATCAAAGGTCCTTGAGATTTGAGTAAAAGAATTTTATACAGATCCAACATGATGTTGTCTTCAGGAATGTGTTCAGATGAATTTAGGGTGGCATCATAAATGCTTGCATTATGCATGCATAAATCCTGTTTGCTGGCAAATTTGAATTACAGTTAGTTTTTTCAGCAAAAAAAAATATGCATTCAAGATTTAAACATTTATCAAATTATGCAGCTCAACTCTAAACACCAATATTGAGGTTGAAACCAACCTTCATACCAGCCCTTTTAAGTGAAGAGACAGGGAAAAATATTTGTGGCCTGATAGTCAATCTGGGAAAACTTGCCCTCATCCTCACACACATACCTGCTGGTTGCAAGTTTAAACCCCCAACTACACAATCAATCCTAAAACCAGTCAATAATGTTTGATTGGTGGCTGATCCCCCTTGTTATCACCAACCTGCTCCTTGCAAGTGCGGCTCCCCCACAAAAGCCTGTCTACCTTTGCCTTGTTTGTGGACAGAAATTGACTATGGAATGGTGCAAACACCCAACTCCAACTTGTAACCTTGGTGGCAAACACCCATGTCCAGTCCCACTCTCAGGCATGTGCCTCTCAAGCTTCAGTCGCAGTGGAAACGTGTCCCGCCGTGGCTGCCAAACTCTCTCCACATATCCACACAGGGATTATGTACACTACCATGACCCAATTGAAGATTGTCAAGAATGTAAATCCCCAAATTCAGGCACATCCCATCCTGGTAAATGAATTACACCTCCATCTGGCCAAGCAACTGATTCAAACTCATAGAGTGGTCATCTTTCAGCTCAAAAATTGACTAGCTGCACAATTTTTTGTCTCAATTTTGTAAGCACTGTTTTTTTGTCTTATTTTGTGGGGCATTAGTGAAAAAAAAAAACTTTGGATCTTATGCACCTTCATCACCTAGGAATCTTGCTCAAGCTCAACACCTGCTGCTTTTTAACTCCTACACCCACTTTTTTTTATATTTAATTTTTGGACTAATCACTTTGCACAACATGAAAAATGGTTTGCACACAGGATGATTTCCACAAAGGCTTTGTGCATTGCACTTTCTTGTTTGAAAATTTCTTTACCATTTTGGAAGTTTGAACCACTTCATTTTTCTTTTTAAAAAAAGGGGGGGTTCTGATTTGATTTCAGATTGCACACTTTGCATTTGCAATTTGAGACAAAGTGTCAGGGGGATTGAAGACAAGTAATTTAGAGCATTCAAATTGATGTGCAGTCGATTAGGCAGGATTAGCTGCCTAATCAAATCCACCGGCCAACCAGACTGGTTGTGATCAATAGATTGGCTCAAACTAGCTCCAGAGCCAAATCTGGGGCTAGCGGGTATTAACTATATACCTTGCTAATTCTTGGATTAGCAAGCTTGCTAATCCTCACTAATCTGCTTAACCAATGCTGATGCTCTTTGGTGGTAGTATGAGGCAAGAGTACAACTATGGCAAAGGTGGAGGAAGAAAAGAAAAAGAAGGAAAACAAAAATAGGAGCTTATTACTTATTTGTGTATGGATTGTCTGATTGGCGTGCTTGAGGAAGTCTGGCCAAGGTCAGCAGGATTCAATCAATAGACGGGCTCCTCATGACCATCCCATAAATTTTTCAAGACCCCATGTGCCAATCTTAAAAATAAAAAACATCCAAGTTTAATACCAAAGATAACTATAGAGGTGGGGTTTTTTGGGCCCTGGAGGCTGGGGCTGAAAAAAGTCCAAGAAAGATGACAGCAGATGTTGATTAATGTTGGTTACAGAGAGTGTGATCTAAGTGTTTGTCAAACAACCCCAAGATATTTTTTGCTTCATATCATCAGCTCATCCATTTCATCTTTGAATAACATGATCACACATTTCAAACCAAACACATAGGATGAAGATCAATAATGTCCAAGTGGCTGTATCCACAACTGCTCCTCCTGCTTTGATGTGAACATACAGACTACATTCGATCATCATGATACACTTCAGAGTGACGATCACGTTACATACATAGACCCCAATCTTTGGCTTGACTTGCTCTTGCACAGAACATTATGGAATGGTCGTCCTGTCGAGACAAGAACAAAGTAAAATTCATTGTGTGTGTGTGTGGCAATACATGGTAGGATGAGTAATAGGAATACAAGCCAATGAAAGCGCAAGAGTTTGTTATATCTTTATAGAATAAGAAAAA